AAATTGATACATAAAAGTTGTCCATTTGTATGGGAGAATTATGTGATTTGTGTGTGTGTGTGTGTGTGTGTGTGTGTGTTGACATTGTGTGATGTTAAAATCAGAGTAAGCATATCTACTCAAACATTGGTTGTTTTTGTCTTTCTGTTTTTCATTTTCTTTGTGGTGCTGGGGATGGAACCCAGGACCTTGTATAGTACACCCCCAACCCCCTGACAACCTTTTGGTGGCTGTGCCTTTAGTAATTTTTTCACAGTGTGTAACTGAAGTGTGTATGTCTTTTGACCCCCCAAACTAGCCTTTTTTGTAGGTATTACATGCCTCAGATCACCTGTCTCCCTGCATTGCCATTATAGTTTACATATTCCCCGACACCCCTACCAGATTTTTAGCCTGTTACTTCTAGCAGAGTGTTAGGCACCTAAAAAGTACTGCATAAATACTTGCATTAATCACACAGTGCCTGCGGGGTCACTCATGAGGAAGGCAGATAGGTATTTTGCCCATGAGGAAGAACAGGAAACAAAGATTCAAAGTTTACTGACTTGGTCACACAGCTACTTCTTTTTTTTGTACTGGGGATTTAACCAAGAGGCAATTTACCACAGAGCTGCATCCCCAGCCCTTTTTCTTTATTTTTTTTTTAGTTTGAGACAGTCTCACTGAAGTTGCTTAGGATCTCACTAAATTGCTGAGGCTGGCCTGATACTTGCAGTCCTCCTGTCTCAGCCTCCTGCATTGCTAGGATTATAGGCATGCATCATCATCCCTGATTCATGTGAAGCTTCTGACACCCAAAGGTGCTAGATGAAATACCTAAAGTCATAGCATTAGTGTTAATAGAACTGGGCAGAATCTAGACCAAAGCCCACACTGCCTGACTCTTCAGCTTACCCCAGATGTCTTTCTGCCTCTTAAGTGAACCCTCAGCTTGGGGAGTACAATCGATCCACTGCTTATAGACACACACACACACACAATAAACCTAAGAGTTCTTTCAGCCCCCGGTGGACAAAATGTCAGGATAGACTTGTTAGAGGAAGACAGGGCTTCAACTCTGTTTTTCTTTCTCACCTAGTGTTCTACATGTGGGAAATGTTTCTCTCAGTCCTCCAGCTTGAACAAGCACATGCGAGTTCACTCTGGAGACAGACCGTACCAGTGTGTGTATTGTACAAAGGTAAGTGGAACCTCCTTCTGAGTGGTATATCTAGCATCCTGCATGGTGATCCATGGGTAAGAACGGGAGTGTAAAGCCTAGTTTATAATGTGTTTTTGGTAAATATTAGTCCAATTAACCAGCCCAATCCTCATTTGCATCCCACAAATATGTTCCAGATGGTCTAAAGAGGCTGAAGATGGTCAGACATGAACTCCTATAACCAAGCTGGCATTTGGAGCATGTGTAATAAACTATACCCTAAATTATAATTATAGAGATCTGATGATCACAGACACATAGAGTTTAAGAGCATGGCTACATGCAGTGGCGCACGCCTGTGATCCCAGTGGCTCGGGAGGCCAAGGCAGGAGTATCACAAGTTCAAAGCCAGCCTCAGCAAAATCGAGGTGCCAAACAACTCAGTGAGACCCTATCTCTAAATAAAATACAAAATAGGGCTGGGGATGTTGCTCAGTGGTCAGTGCCCCTGAGTTCAATCCCCAGTACCAAAAAAAAAAAAGAATTTAAGAGTATGGTCTTGGCCAAGGTTCAAAGAGCATAGCATGATGGACTTGGACGTGGTTGTAACCTTGTGAAAATTCATTAACTTCTCTGTTGTTTAGTTTCTTCATTGGTAAAATGGGAGAAAATAGTCTTCACAGAGTTTTTAGGTTAAATGTGTAAAACTCACTTAATAATGCTTGACACTATTGAAATGTTATCTACTATTATTACTACTTAAATGTATGAAGACTTAATTGGGGGAATGCTGTTGATGTAGCTTTCTAGAGAGACATGGTGGGTGACTTCTAATCTATGTTACACAGAATATAGAGTTAGAAAAACAGGGAGGGGGAGAAAAAGAAGACAAAAATGGAGAGGGATTAGAAGTGAGAGATTGCTGGAATAGAGATAATTTGTTCATGCTTTAGGAAAAATGTAACAAAATAACCTCCTTCTGTTTTGATAATAAGCATCTATACTGTCCAATGTGTACCCATTGCCCTATGTGGCTATTTGAATTCATAAAAACGAAATAAATTGAAAATTCTGTTCTTAGGTTGCACTTGGCACATTTTAAACTCAGTGGCCATACATGGCTAGCAACAGCCACATTGGATAGCACAGGTACTGAGAGAGCATGCCTGCCATTGCAAAGTTCTGTTGGAGAGCACTGGTAGACTACGCTTCTATCAGTGTCATGAAACAGACGGGTGCATCACACTTGTGCTGAATACTGCTCAGCAATAAAAGAGGAAGGAACTGTTGATAAGCACAGCAACCTCAGTAAACCTCAGCAAATCCTAGAAGGTCACTGATGATACTGTTCCATGGATAGAACATTCTTGAAATGACAGAGTTATAGAAATAGAGAGTAGATGAGTGGTTTTCATGGTTTAAAAAGAAAGTGGGAATGGAAGGGAATTTGGTGTGCTCACAAAAGAACACTATGGTGGGGGGAGGGTATCCTGGGGAAGAAAATGTTTTTGACTCTGTCAATGTCAACACCCTGATTGTGATGTTATAATAGAGTTCTGGTGTAAGACATAATCATTGAGGAAAACTGGGTAAAGGGTCTATGTTTTTATTTACTATTGACTATAAATCTATAGTTATCTCAAAGTTTAATTTAAAAAAGGAAAACTAATAAGGCACTGACTTATGCAAAGACATTAGCCCATACTAACCTGTCCTTTGGTAATGCAGTTTGTCTTGAAGGATGTCTTATTTAAATGCTGGCTCCTGGGTCTTGTGTCATGTTTTTTGGGGTGTCACGCTCTCTAGGGTAGAATTGATAATGTTTTATTGGGTTTGGGGAGGTTTTTTTGGTAATTTTGCTTTTGAGTTTTGGTTTTGTTTTTTTTTTTTTTAATCTTTTTGTGGTGCTTGGGTTTGAACCCAGGCCTTTGTGCATACGAGGAATCACTCAACTACTGACCTACACCCCAGCCTGCAATCTGCATTTTTAACTGGAGTTCCCAGTGATCATAGCCAGGGCTACTCAAAACTAGCCAGAATGACAAAGCAGTCTAGTTCTTTTTGATAAGGCTTCTGCTGCCACCTTGAATCTAAGATATTTGTTCATTGGAGAGGTAATGGAATGACATCCATATTAGCAACAAGGAGCTGGGTACTATCGTGCCTACCTGTAATCCCAGCTTCTTGGGAGGCTGAGTGAGGCAGGAGGATCACAAGTTCGGGATCAACCTGGACAATTTTGCAGATCTTGTCTCAAAATGAAATTTAAGAAGGACTGGGGGATTGTAGCTCAGCGGGGAGCACTGGTTTACCAGGGGTGGGGGTTGGGGGGGTTCCTGGGGGTAGATTTATTTATGCCTTTCTTAACAAGTTGACCAGCCCACAGAAATTGGCTTTTTTCCTTCTGCTTTCTGTTCTCTGCAGAAGTTCACTGCCTCCAGCATACTCCGCACACACATTAGGCAGCATTCTGGGGAGAAGCCCTTCAAGTGCAAGTACTGTGGGAAATCCTTCGCTTCCCATGCTGCCCATGACAGCCATGTCCGGCGCTCTCACAAGGAAGATGACGGTGGCTCCTGCCTCATTTGTGGGAGAACCTTCCCAGATTCAGATGCTCTTTATTGCCACATGCAGTTTCATGAAAACCTCTCGCCATCCAAGTGGAGCAGTGTGAGAGTGGAGCACTGAGAACCAAGGACTTGGATGCCCTCCTTCTGGTTCTTGTTAGGGGTGTGTCATAGGAACAACTGGTCATCCTATTGAACTGGCCTATCTGCTGAACTTACCAGAATATTGACGGTGGCTTTTGCCGAAAGGACTTTTCACAATTGTTCATGAGACTAGAATGCTGATCAGCTTACCTACAAATAGTGGGAGCTGCAGGGTGACAGTGCCTGGGAGCCTGAAGATCCAACACAAGCTCCCAGAGTGTCTCTTCAAGTCCCCGCAGCTCAAGGATGACAGACCGATTCCTAGGTTTCGTAATGGAAGAAAAGGAGATCTTCTCTCTGCTGTTTGCTGTGGGTTCTTGATTGTACCGTCTGTGGCTGTCAACTGTTGAATTTCTTCACACAACAAATTTTCCTAATATTCACCCAAGCCAGAACTTCTTCAGAGGTGAATTAGTCTTTGATATTTATTTAGATTCATTTTAAACCTTTTTGTTGTTCCTACCCCTCCCCCACCACATGATAAATGTATGTTTAGCACCAAACAGAATTAGAGGGCACAGCCATTACCAGTTGCAGAAGAAAAATCATAGCCAAATGAAGAAAGTCTAAAAAAATAAACATTTTTGTTGCTCTGGCTTTAATTCTGATTTCATTCCTGATAAAGAAAGTGGACTACTTTTTCCCATGTCTTTCTGTCTTTCCAGGCCCAGGGTAACACAGAGAGTGCAAAATTAAATAAGAGAGGCCTGCTGAAACAAAGATAAAGGTTTTGTACAAGGTATCCCAAGGCTGATGTTGGGGGTGGGACTCAGCTTTTCTAATGTGCGGAGAGATGGTCTCACCTCATGTGGGTAGTAATACACTTGTTGGTTGAGCATCAACTCTACATGATGGTACCACTCACTGAGTGTGTCACTGTGTAGCAATTGAAGCTGAGATGAAGGAAGTAGTGGGAGATCACTCCCACTTTGGAGTAGGATTGACTCTAAAGATCAACCTCTTTTGATTGAACTCAGGGGCACTCCACTACCAACCACCGAGCCACATCCCCAGCCCTATTTTATATTTTACTTCAAGACAGGGTCTCACTGAGTTGCTTATGGCCTCACTGTTGCTGAGGCTGGCTTTGAACTTGGGATCCTCCTGTCTCTACCTTCCAAGCCACTGGAATAACAGGTGTGCACCACCACACCTGGCAAGACTGACCTCTTAACCACTATGGCCAGTTTATAAAATCCTGCTAAGGAAATGGCATTTCCTATTAACTCTCACATTCTTCCCTACACCAAGGCAAACAACAAAACGCTTTTTAACTTCTATATTACAGTGGAATGCATTATAATTTTTATTATACAAACAGCACAATGTTTCATATCTCTGGTTGTGTACAAAGTGTATTCACACCAATCCGTGTCTTCACACCTGTACTTTGGATAATAATGATCATCACATTCCACCATCATAAAATATTCACACAAGGGTTGGGGCTGTGGCTCAGAGGTAGAGTGCACGCCTACTTGCGTGAGGCACTGGGTTGGATCCCCAGCACCACATACAAATATGTGTCCACCTATAACTAAAAAAATATTAAAAAATAAAATTCACACAAGGTAAAGGCTCTGCAAGCAACCTGAGCTCCTAAGGATGTGAACCAGCCCTGGTCGTGGTTTTGTTGACCACCTAGGGGTTTAGGGGTTTGCTTCTCCCTGTAGCCATAACCCACTGTCTCAGAGTGGTGCAAATTCAATATTGAACAGATGTGCCTTCCAGAGGGGGGCTCCCAGCAGTAGCAGGGTCCTTTGAGCAATAGATATATGCAGGTGGAAAAGCAGTGACAGATTTTACTCCAGGGAATTCTTTGCTGCCTTGACTAGGTCTGAGTAATTTATCCTAATTGGGAATGTGCCCTGTTGTTTTCGGACTATTTTAGTTCATGTTAATTAAGTCAGAACAATGGTCTTGAAAAGATTGGGGGGAGGGCTCATCATGTAATTAGGCAGCCTTTCTTTCTCTGCAAGTTCAAAATATATTACTTAAAACACTTCTTACTGCTTAGGGGTTTGAATATTGTCCTTTTGTTTTTTTAAATATTTAAAGTTGTAGATGGACACAATACCTTTTTTATTTATGCATTTTTATGTGGTGCTGAGGATCGAACCCAGTGCCCCACGCATGCTAGGCAAGCGCTCTATCACTGAGCCACAACTATGGCCTTTGAATATTGTTTTTAAATTGAATAGTAGAATAAGTCCCCAGAAACTGGTATGACCCCCATTTTTTCATTCATTGAAAAAAAATCAAACTATTTTCTTTTTTGCAATTGATTAATAGCAAATTCAGGTGACTTTTTGTTTCTTTGTTTGTTTCATTTTGCTATCCAATAGTCACCCAAATATGTTCATGTCAAATAATACATGCACGCCACACAGGAAAAAATTTTGTTTTCTGGTATGAGGGATTGAACCCAGGGCACTCGACCACTGAGCCACATCTCCAGTCCTATTTTGTATGTTATTTAGAGACAGGGTCTCACTGAGTTGCTTAGGGCCTCACTGTTGCTGAGGCTGGCTTTGAACTTGCCATCCTTCTGCCTCAGCCTCCTGAGCTGCTGGGATTACAGGCATGCACCGCCACTCCTGGCCATACTGGAAATTTTGAGAATCACTTCATTCAATCTGATCTGTTTGAAAAGTTTTGAATATATTTATCTGGTTACATATCTCAGTTTTTGGTTTTGGAAATAAAGTAAATTGCCCAAGCTGGTCTTAATATCTTTCTTGATAATTAATCTGAAGCTTTTTTATGTTTATTTCTGTGTATGTCACCTCTCTAAATATGATTTGAACTAGCTTGTAGCACTAATAAAAAGTAGAAGACAAACCACTTTATAGAAAGTAGAATTGAGATAGGGCTGTGGTTGTGGCTCAGTGGTAGAGCGCTTGCCTCGAATGTGTGACTCACTGGATTCAAGTCTCAGCATCACATATAAATAAATAAATAAAATTGGAGCTGGGGATGTGGCTCAAGCGGTAGCGCGCTCGCCTGGCATGCGTGCAGCCCGGGTTCGATCCTCAGCACCACATACAAACAAAGATGTTGTGTCCGCCGAAAACTAAAAAATAAATATTAAAATTCTCTCTCTCTCTCTGTCTCTCTCTCTTAAAAAAAAAAATAAAATAAAAGTCCATCAACAACTAAAAAAATTTTTTTAAAAAATAAAGTAGAATGGGATTAAAACTCTGAACTAATATAATTGTGATGACTAAAAAGTGTTATAAGCACCAAACTATATAAAAATATAGAATATGGAGTTGCCCACCATTTCCTCATTGTATAAAGTTGATCAAGAAATTAAATTTCTGAGGTCTTACATTTTCATCCATAAAATAAGGCAATAATTATTTTGTAGGGTGTTATGAGAATTAAATGAGACTGTGTATACTGGGTGATGCTTGATAAATATTTCCTTCTCTTTAACTGTTACCATAAAAGGTAGCCGAGTGTAGAGGCACACATCTGTAATCCCAGCAACTCAGGAGGCTGAGGCAGGAGGATTGGAAGTTCCAGACCAGCTTGGGCAATTTAGTGAGACCTTCTTTCAAAATTGAAAATTAGGGCTGAGAATGTAGTTCAATGGTAGAGTGCTCCTGGGTTTAATCCCCAGGACCCACAAAAGGAAAATTCTCTTGACTTGACCCATTTTTTTACTGAATCCAAAATTTGGGGGAAGTGGAGCTCAGCAGTCCATAATGAGTTCAGGAACCATTACTTTATTTGCTTTCACCCAGTTCCTGAAACAGCAGTGAATGAAAGTTAGTAGCATGGCAAAATCACAAAGCCATATATTAGGAGAAAGCATTAGCATGTAGATTGCAGGCAGAGCAATCTACTTGCTTACTGGGGTTAGTGGAAAAGCAGAGAATACATTTGGTCATTTTACTGTTGTAAATAAGGAACTCCGCAGAGAGGGAGCCTTGTTATGGAAACTACTGTTAGTTTCTCTGCTCATACTTCTTTGCCCCACCTGATTCTATCTGCTAAATGATGGTTCATTCCTTAAACAAAAAATGTATAAAAAGGGACATTTGAAACCCTGGAAAAATGAAGCTCGAAGTAGAGTGGCATCAGTGATATTGATGGAGCACTTAATGGGCCCTCAGGGTGCCCTAGGACTTGGCCAAGTTGTCAGTTGCACAGCAAACAAAACTGTCAAAGTAGACAGATGCCTGGGACCCCAGTGGGCCTGCGGCAGGCTCAGTGTTGTGGCCATAAAGTCAGCTTAGTTTTTTACACAGGCAAAATACCGGAAAGATTGGGAGGAGCTGCCCTTCACAGTATAATAGAGCTGAGATCATGAGTACCATCCTAGACCCTCTACTACTGGGGGGGGTCCAGTTTTGACATGGTAGGTTGTAAGTGCTCTCAGAATGTCTTGACTTGTATCGGGGCAGTGATTGCATAACGTTGTTATGAACAAAGTTCAGGAGAACAAATTTGTACGTTGAATTCTCTCAGTAGAGACTAGGTACCATGACTCTACAATATAGAATTCTTCCTGCCTCCACACAGTGCTAGAAATCATAGCCAGGCCCTCCTGCATGGTAGTCTAGTGCTCTACCATTGAGCTACAGCCGTAGTCCTTTCAGAACGTTTTCACTGACAAATATTAAGATAAAATAACCAAATTTATTTTAAAAGAAAAAAGAATACAGAAATAACGGCCTCCCATATTAATAATTTCTCTGTAAAGTATGGGAATTCCATAAGGGGACACATTTTCTCTATGATTTAAAGAAGTTACATATTCGGGAAATTGCTTCCATTTGTTACTGCAAACAATTTTCACCTTATTGGTTTGTTGGCTTAAGTAATCTTTATAGTATCTTGAAATGAGATACTTAGCCTTAATTACTAAGGTAATGGTTAGGAAGGAGATTGTGGTTCTATTTTTGTATATGACATGATCTCAGGATAATGTATTCTTTTCACTTTCATTCTTTTTCATCCATATTATCAGAATTCTTATCTGGGGACTGGGGATGTAGCTCAGGGATAGAGCTCTTGCCTAACATGCACAAAGCCCTGAGTTCAAATGTGTAGTAACACACACACACACAAAGCAAGACCCTGTATATGTGTACCCCCCGACATGTGTGTGTGTGTGTGTGTGTGATATCAAAGGGGTTGGCATTTCATTCTTGATTTTTATAAATTCCTTAAAAGTGCTAATATTACTCTTCTTGCTTTCATATGTGTTCATATTTCTATGTGAATTATTTTTTTAAGTGCTAATAAAAATAGTAGGCAAGATTTAGGATCAAATTTGTGATTTTCCCCATTATTAACCAATTCATCTAGTGAGATGCAGTAGAGAGGGAAAACATGATAAAGTCACTCACTCATTATCCTTGATACATATATATTTTTTTAACCAGAGGTTGAACTCAGGGGCCCTCAACCACTGACCCACATCCTCAGCCCTATTTTGTATTTTATTTAGAGACAGGGTCTCACTGAGTTGCTTAAGGCCTCACTGTGGCTGAGGCTGGAGGCTGGCTGCCTTAGCCTCCAGAGTTGCTGGGATTAGAGGCGTGCACCACCACGTCTGGCTTTCCATCTTGTTTTCAAGGACAGTTGGACA